ATGCTGCCACTTTCACTGTAACTTTCCCCCCTCGTCCAAGGGGCTGAATGTTACCAGGATAAACTTGATATCATGGTAGCTCCATGTAGGATAGGCATTTTCCTAAGCCAAGGACAACCAATGGGGACCTGAATAAGCCCAAGATGGAAATGGGATACCATGTTGAAACCAAAGAGTATGAATGCAGGAAGAGGGAGAAGTTAGAAATTTAAAAAATTAATTTTTTTCCCTAGGCCTAAAGCCACAGGACAAGATACTGTTTTAATTTTTAATGCTTTCATAAGTCTTAATCTGAAACATAATTTTTAATCATCAAGTCTTTGAATTCAGTAAGTTACAATCACTAGAAGAAACTGTTCTGGTCTTAAAACGGCCCATTTAGTTTAATTTATCATTATCATCATTTAACTACTTCACTACTGAAACTCTCCCAAGTCTGATGTTTCATCACCACCGTCATTAAAATTTCTCAGAGCTGCTGGCAGATGCCCTCTGTAACTTTTTAAACAGCTGCCAGCATCTTCCTCTTCACCACTAGCGTTCTGCTGACACAATCCTGGTCTTCCTAAAGTCATTGAGGATGGTTGCCGGGGTTGTTTTCTGCCACGCAGAAGTCATCCACTTGCAGTACTTCTGTATTCTGTAAACGTGGCCTCATTGTGTGAGTCATGAGCTCCGGACGGCATCCATTCACCTCACCCTCTACTCACTGAAGCCTTGAACCAATGGTTGACAGCTCTGTCTAGTGGCTGCAGGTTAGAGGTAAGGCACTAGGGATGAATGCTTTATGGACACCGGTTGAGTTAATAAAACGTTGAATATTTTTCCCTTTTTGAGTGGCCATCATGTTGAAAATTAGTAAAGCTTTCTTCTCAAAGAATGCTCCCTACCTGCCCCTGTAATATTTGTCTACACATACTTCCATAAGATCAGATTTCATTCGTCCTTATTACACTGAGCAACCACACTGTGGCAATTTCTACACTGGGCATGGCAACTCCCTTAGAAATCATCAGTGGCTAACTTCCACCCCCTCAGAGTGCAACCAAGAACCACAGCAAAGCAAGCACTCTCAGCCCAGTGTTGTCATGATACGGTTCTTCTACCTCAGTAGCAAAGGTCCTGGGAGCTGGAATGTTGAAAATCATCAGCTTCTAGTCTATATGATCACGTCTATTGCAGATATATGCGCTCAGAAGATTTCTAATAACACACTCTCAGAAGTTGACCATCTGCTGCTCCCAGTCATCCAGAAGTTGTTGGCTGCTAGTGGTTCCTATTCTCACGGAAGGGCCATTTCTTGTCACAGATGTAGAAATCCAGGTGAAACTCACTTTGGGAATTGGGAGTCCTCTTTCATTTTCCAGAAGCTCACTTGGAGCCCAATTGGACAGTAGAGACAGGTTGACTTGGTTCCCTTTAAGAGATAATTCACTCTTTCAAGTCATTCTCCACCTCAGGCCATTTTGCTTTGGCCTCCTGGTGCCCTCATTTCCACAGATCCATTGGCCTCATCTTTCTCTCCATTTCCAATGAACAACTCTCCTACTACAAACGCTCCACTATTGTTCTGTTACCTGTTTCTTCTACCCTTGCGATGACTTTGTTTTAAATTGACAATTTAGGATTTGTGTTTAATTCCTGGCATCGTCCTAAAGGGTTCTAAGACTAAGATTTATAAATGGAAAAAAATGTGTTCAATATAATCGATAAATGGCCAGTGTTATTAGACATTTCAAAAGTCAAGTATAGGGCTATGGGTGTACAAGAAGCAAGTCTTTTTATATGCTTGCAAGCATAATACTAAGGTGACTTATGATTATTGATCAAAGACCTTGGCGCTAATAAGATATAATTAGATATAAAATAGCAGATCTAATGTAGCTTAATGATCTCACTTAAGATGACCTGATAGGGTTTTCCCATTCAACTACTGGGTCAATGGCAATCTTATATCAGTTTTGCTTTGTTGACTGCTCCTATAAAGGCAGAATCAAGGATGACTGTGGTGATTGAACCAGTACTGATCAAATTGAGTTTTCTATTGATGTCACTTATGCCATTTCTTATGCTTTATTTATGTTTCCAATTGACAGTGTCTGGTTTATGGAGAGACTTCACCCATTCAAGGTTCCAATGAATGAAATGACTCAAGGGTGATGGGCATATAATTATGAGCTTAAATGAAAAGAAACAAATGCACAGTCCAGTGGTTGCTTCTCCAGTGACCGGGGCACTGCCAAACACAATCCACACCTTCTGGACCATGGCTTTGACCTTTATTGTACAAGTACAATCGGAAGCCTCAGCTTCAGACTATTGAACGACGGTGCTTGAGGCTGAAATTCACTTCTGAAAATGTCACGCGATATGCATGGCATATGCATGGGTGTGCTATGCCAGAACTTTTCTTTTCCCTGATTTTGGAGTTGCCATGGTTTGTGTGTGTGTGTGTGTGTGTGTGTGTGTGTGTGTGTAATTTACATGGGCTTGCTATTTGCAAAACATGAGGCAATCATTTTCTAAGAGTTATATCTTCTTTCCTCTCCTGTTAGAACAATAGGATAGGAGCCCTGGAAATGCAGTAGGTTAACTGAAAGGTTGGTGGTTCAAACCCACCAGTGGCTCTGCAGGAGAACATCATGAGCATCTCAACACCACTATTCCAAAACCATCCGGACCAGCTCTGCACAGAGTCACCGTCTTGAAGTTAACTGTCCTGCCTTCCTTTTGTTCCATTCCCCCAAAGTTAGCATTTCTTCATTGCTGCCCTCATTAGTTTAGTCTCCTTCTTCAGCTCAGACTAGGCTTCATCCAAAAGTTCCTGTCAGACTGCCCTGACCTGGCCAGCTCCCTGGTTCCGTCAACCTGCACACAGCCCAGATTCAGGACTCCCAATTCAGCTTCTGCCACCTCTATCTAAACTCTACACCTTGACACACTGGCCTCAGGCCTCCTGCTAGCATCCTCTCTCCCGCTGTCCTCTTTCTCTTCCTCCTCCTCCTCTTCCTCTCCGCCCCAGCCCAGAAACTCTCCCTATCACCCTGTGCACACCTTCCTCCTTTGTGGCCCTCTGCTTGGGCTTCCGGTTTTCCTTCCTCTCCCAGCTACCACCCCAATCTCACACCTCTCTCCTTCACAAAGTTCACCCAGCAAATGCACTCCCCTCCCCTACGATACCAGCCTCCCTGCTTTACATCCCCTCCTCACTGGTGGGTTCAGCGGTGCCCCCTCTGCCAGCAGCCGTTTGCCTGCCCCCTCCATGTGCGTCGAGAGCACATTTCCTATCCCCGACGAGATTTGGATTCCTCGAGGCAGGGCCTTTCCTTCCTGCTGACTCTTCACTCCTGACAGACAGAACAGAATTGAATTCACCCTGGAGGGTGATTCCCGGCTCCTTGTCAATATGTTCTAGGGCGTTTCTCTAATTCCATTGAGGTTAGACAGGAGTGCAGGGTCCCAGGAGAGAGACTGTGGACCGTGGGGCGCACATGGAGACACAGGACGGGGAGGACTGGAAGGGACATAAGATCACGGACCCCAACCTTACTTCACACACCAGGAGGCAGAGGCTCAGAAATGTTAGCGGGGGCTGTCAAATCACAGAGAGCAGGGGCCATCTCTGATTCCCAGCCCAGAGCTGGGAGTTGCAGGAGAGCCTCCTGCCCCGTGGGGGGGTTGAAGGGGCTGGCATGGGGCCATTGCAGGGGGATCTGTGCACGCTCTGTGGGGCAGGCTGACACGTCCCAGGCGTATGAAGGCATCCTGTGATTCATGTGAAGGAGACCGCGGTTGGAACAGAGTGTGGGGGAGACCGCGGTTGGAACAGAGTGTGGGGAAGGCAGGGCGGCTTAGAGCCCTGTAGTATTCATGGCGCACGGACAGCGTGCAGCGGGCAGTGGGCGCTCCGGCCACAGTTCACACAGTCCGCAGCCGCCAGTCATGTTCAGACTGGCCAGGAGCTGGTGGGGGCGGCTTGGTGCTTCATGGCAGGCTTCAGCTCGCCTTCAATTCCTGCCTAAGGCACCACACTCATCACCCTTCTCCTGGCGGCGGCTTGATGAGCACGCTTCAGCAGCGCTTTCAGACGAAGCTGGACTTCCAGACTAGTAGCTGCCAGAGCACAGTCCTCAACCGATCGTGGGGACCAGCGACGTTTTGCTCTGGAGCACCAGGAGTCGGGAGCAAACCTTGAGGCTGCTAACCACCGCGTGGAGGAGCGCTGGTGGCGTGGTGGTCACGCGCAGGGCTGCTCACCGCGACGTCAGGAGAAAGACGTGGCTGTTGGATTCCGTAATGGGCGACAGTGTTGGAGGCGCACAGGGTCGTTCCATCCCGCCCTGCAGGACCGCTCTGAGTCGACATCGCCTCGATGGCCGTGAGCTTGAGGCGTCTGAACAACAGCGAGGAGGCAGCTGAGTGCCTGCACGCGAGACGGAGTCTAACAACCCAGACACGGCGCCTGGGAGCAACGGACAGCACACACAGGGCCCCCCCCCCCACAAGTTCAAGCCTTCCCAGGGCAAAGCCATGAAGGAGACAGGCTTACAGGAGAATGCCGTCGCTACTGAAGGAGACCACTGGATGCAAGCGCAAAGCCATATTGCACGACTGGGTAACGTTGCTACCTGTTCCGGGGTGCAGCTGGGGAGAGCTTTTCATGATCTCTGATATTACAGGTTGACAATCCAGGCTTTCTGGATGAACTCAACCACCCTGCTCCAAATGATAGTACAGTTTATCTGTGACCTTTTTAACCCGATTTTTCCCCCCATACATATTCCAAATTTCTATGGTACAGACATAGTATTTTTAGAACCTGGAAATAATTAAATTCTTATGTTTAAGGACAACTGACAGTGTTTATAAGGAAACAAATGCCGCCGAGCTTGACCTTATTCCCTGTGATTTTGCAACGATTCCACTGCTCTGTTCTCCAGAGGCCGATCTCCCCAGCCAAGAGAAAACCCCAGCCCAAGGCAGCCCATCCCTTGACTCACATTCTGCGTATTTCTGAAGTTGGTCAAATTCTTCGGCAGTGAGGGAGACGCACCGATCTTCACTCATCTTTATTTGACGTGTGGGGGCCTGGAGGCCAGAGTGGAGTTTCGCTCACCAGGGGAAAGGTGGAGCCCACCGCAGGGCCTCACTCATTGCCGGTGTGGAATGGACAGGCCCTGGTGGTCGCAGAGGCCCACATGCCCGATGACCATGGCGACTCCTCTCAGAAGGTGACAAGGAACCTGTGCCGCTCCTCCAGCAGCATGCTGCTGTCTTCGGTCAAGGACAGTTCAAACAGCTGGCTTCTTCCTGGGCAGAAGCAGAAGAGACATTGCGCGTGCGAGTGTTAGGATCGCTAGTCATCGGCGGAGGAAGGACAGGGACGGCGGCCTGGGGGAAGGATTAGCTCGATGAGAAATTCTCTTCTCTATTGCTTCCTAAATTCTACCTAGATGGCTGCCTGCCTTCCTTTAGTGAGCCATTTGGAGCATATACCCCGAAGGCTGGCTGTGTCCGACTTCCACATGCATGCGAGGAGAAGGAAAATACCATGACTTGGGTCAGGTGCCCCTGAGTCCACAAACGTAACAGCCTCGCTTTTCAACACTCTAAAAGAGGTCCTCATGCAGCAGACGGACCCAGTGCAATCATGGCGCTGGGGAGAGCACTGCCAGTCCCGTGGCCTGCCGAAAGAACAAGTCCGTCTCGGAGGAAGTGCGGTCGGAATGCTCCTGAGAGGCAAGGATGGGGAGACTTCATCTCAGGCTCTTTGGGCATTCATCAGGAGCAACCAGTCCCTGAGAAGGACAATGCGCTTGGGAAAGAGGAGGGAGGCCCTCAACAAGATGGGGTGACACCACGGCTGCAACAGTGGGCTCACACGGAAGACCGGTCGTGAGGATGGTGCGGGAGCCGGGGGTGTGGGTCTGATGTACACAAGGCCCTTAGGAGTCGAAACTGACTGGATGGCACCAAACAACAACAACGACAAGGCTGGCTAACAGCCTAGCACAGCGGTTCTCAGCCTGTGGGTCGCGACCCCTTTGGGGGTCGACCGAGCCTTTCACAGGGGTCGCCCAATTCAGCACAGTAGCAAAATGACAGTGATGAAGTAGCGACGAATAATGTTATGGTTGCGGGGGTGGGGGCACCACCACATGAAGACCTGTATGAACAGGTCGCGGCGTGAGGAAGGCAGAGAACCGCTCTGCTAGCGAACGGATCAGTGAACTGTTTCTCATCACCACAAATACAGAGGACGCTACGTGAAGGCAAGTTGGCCTTCCGCTGACCAGCCTGATGGAAGGCGGGTGGCTGGTTCGTCACACTTCGGTGTGCTTTTTCCTGGAGAGTCTCCTATCATGGTACATTTTAAAAATCGGTTTATTAGGGGCTCATCCAACTCTTAGCACAATCCATACATAGATCAATTGTGCAAAACCCACTTGTACATTCATTGCCCTCATCATTCTCAAAACATCCACTCTCCACCCAAGCACCTGGCATCAGCTCCTCATTTTTCCCCTCCCTTCCTACTTCCCCCTCCCTCATGAACCCCTCATAATTTACAAATCATTACTTTGTCATATCTTGCACTGTCCTACGTCTCCCTTCACCCACTTTTCTGTTGTCCGTCCCCCAGGGTTATATGTAGATCCTTGTCATCGGTTCCCCGTTTCTAACCCACCAGTCATGTTAACAGTTTCTTGGGTTGTGAAATTAATGTAGTGAGTTAGGACCAGCGTATAAAAACCCGAGGTAGGCTAGAATGGAACAGAAAGTATCAAAGAGCATCTCCCGTGGTCAGGGTCAGTGCTGTTTCAGGAGACTTTTCTTTCAGTTACATGTGTATGTGTTTGTCATAACACAAAATGAATTTCTTACTCTGAGTGGAAGTTACAAAAAAATAAACCAGAGAAAGAAGAAAATGTTCTGAAATTGGTTGTGGTGATGATGGTACAACTCTTCTTAAGAGGATTGAACTATTAAATTATATGATATGTGAATTGTATGCCAATACAACTATTAAGAAATAAGACTGGAAAGTCACTAAACTGGAGGGAAGAGAAATAAACACCAGGGAAGCACAGGCTTGATTGTTTCCAAAGAGAAAGCCCAGTTTGAGCAAAATAGGATCACGCTGGGGCTCAGGGCTCACGGGCCATGAGGAATGGTCTGGAGGGGCCGGCTGAGAGGACCGTGGAGATGCATTGTTGGACAGTTCTGCGGAGGAGTCTCCTGGCGGCACCAACGGTTGTATTTGAGTCCTCACCTAAACGTTGGTGGTTTGAACCCATTCCGTGGCACCACGAGAGACAGGCCTGGCAATCAGCTGCAGTAGCAGTGACAGCCCAGAAAGACTTGGGGGTGCTTCTACTGTGTAACACACGTGGTTCCAGGAACTGAAATGGGCTAGAAGATAATGCTGTGTCAGTGTGTGTGTGGCCAGGGGTCTGTAGGCTTGACTAGTGTGCACCAGGAGGGCTGAAGCGGGGCTGAAGGAGGATTCCTGAGAGAGAGTGAGAGATTCTGGCGTTGTGAGGAAGACTTTTCAACAGCCAGAACGCTCCAACAGTTCTCCAGACAGTTGACAAGGGATCTTTGCATGCCTGGGAACACTCAAGGGCTCGCTTCTCTCCTCACAAAGCTCCACTCTCTTCTTGATTCTCTGGGGGGCTGGGAGTTGCTCCTCGGCTCCTGCTTTTGCCAAAGCCCCCAGGGACCTAGCAGACAGAGCGAGCAGGTGCCTTTGAAACCCTTCCTTGCTTCATCCGCCCTGTCCGCAGCCTTTGACTCGGCTGAAAGCTTCTCCTTGGAACTCTTCACCCTCTCTTACTCTTTTCAGTGTTACTTCCCAGAGACTGGTCGCCCCTTCTTTTATCACGGTTAGGAGCCCTCGTAGCATAATGGGTTACACATTGGCTAACCCAAGGTCAGCAGTTCAAAACCACCAGTGGTTCTGAGGGAGAAAGATGAGGCTTTCATCTCCCATAAAGAGTGTCAGTCTCTGAAACCCACAGGGGTAGCTCTACCCTGTCTTATGGGGTCGCTATGAGTCAGGCAGTGCATTGTTTAAAAGTTTAAAGAAATCACTTTTTAAATATTTGTGCTTCCAAATTTCCATCCTTGGCCCTGTCCCCAGGCTACCTCCTTTCTCGGAGGATGTCCCCCACGTTCACAATCTCCATGACTCCCAGGCATGCATGTTGTTCCAGTTCTGACCAGGCCAGAATACCCTGCTGTCTACTGTCATGTCCTTGTATGGCCTGACCTCCCCAGCCCAGCACCCTCCCATGCCCCCATGTTGGTCTGTCTCTGTATTCTCGTCATGCCTCCAGAGGAGCAGACACCCATGAGGGAACCTGAGGGCCATCCTACACTGCTGTCCATCTCTCCTGATAAATGCATTCCCTGTGAGCTCCCTCCCCTCCATGTGCCTGCCATTCATTAACGCAGACCCTCATCACCTCTTCCCGTTCTTTGCCAAGAGCCTCCTGACCAGGCTCCCTGCCTTGAGTTGTGTTCTTCTCTCCTTTGTCGGCTTCCTAAATTGCCAATGAGATTTCATCTCTCCCTGTAATAAAATTCTTCCGTGGTTTCTATAGAGGAAGATTTAATTTTCTCTTCATGATACAGAAAGCTATTCATGATTCGGCCCCTGCTTATCAGTTTGGTCCAAATGTGAGGGGAGGCCTTTAGAAGCATTTTTCACTATAGCCATCGTTCACCATTACAACTGCAATCACCATAGCTGCTGCTATCATGCAATGGACACTGATTTTACACTGTGCTATTTAAGAACCCGAGGGGTGCAGCAGTGAAGTGCTTGGCTGCTAACCCAAAGGCTGGTGGTTCAAACCCATCAAACTCAAACCAAACTCACTGTCATTGAATCTATTCCAATTCATAGTGACCCTATAGGACTGGGTAAAACTGCCCGTGAGTTTGCAAGGCTGTCTTATGGGAGTAGAAAGCCTCACCTATTTTCCCAAGGAGCAGCTGGTGGTTTCAAATGGCTGATCCTGTGGTTAGCAGCCGAACGTGTCACCACTACCCTTCAGGGCTCCTTTCAAAGGCACCGGTCACAGGAAAAAGTGGTGGCCCTCTGCTTCAGCCTGGAGACCCTACAGGCAGTTCTACTCTGTGCAATAGGCTTGTGATGAGCCAGAATCCATTCAGCGGCCGTGGGTTTTAGTTTGGTTTATTTGCTGTCTGTAAGTTATCAACTTTAATCTTCAGAATCACCGTGTAAATGAAGGGCAGCAAACAGCGAGCATGTGCGCTGCTAACCAGAAGGATGGAGGGGTGAGTTCCCCCAGAGGCTCCTGGGCAGAAATGGCTTGGCGTCTGCTTCCAAAAATCAGCCAATGAAAACCCCAGGGCGGGCCCCCTGGGCTTCACACAGAGAAGTCCTGAGGGGCCTTGCCATTGGGGAAAGTGACTAGCTCCTGTTTTGCAGATGAGAAAGTTGAAGCGTGGTCTTTAGTAAATTTGGTGAGGAGAAAAACAAAAACAACAAACCAACAGTGCTTGGTGTTGTTCAAGAATGCTTCCTTGGGGGTGTAATGGGTATGTGTCAGGCGGCTAACAGCAAGGTCAGCAGTTTGAAATCACTAGCAGCTCTGTGGGAGAAAGATGAGGCTTTCTACTTATAAAGAGACACAGCCCCCGAAATCCACAGGGGGAACTTCTACCTTGTCCTATTGGGTCACTCAGGATGAGCCGGGAGCAACTCGATGGCAGTGAGATCGAGCATACTTTCTACGGTGATCTGGGACATGCTGCGTGATACAACAAGCACAGCATTTGACCCTGGAAAGTAGGAAATCTGAAGTCTGGCGTTAGTTCTTTTTCTCTTTTCAAAATTTCTTGAACTTTAGTCTCTTACCCCAAAACAGGGATGCCCCAGACACACTTATAACCTGAGGACTTAAGCTGGAAAGCACAAGGTGTTGGAGGTAGAAGGAGCCAGCTGTACCAAGAGCGGTGTACTGTTGGCTGGTGAACAAACAAGGTCTGAGTGCATCAGCACCCTGGATGCCGTATTAACATATGTATTATCCCAGGAACCCTGTGATGGCCAATCTGCTATATTCTGTTAATGTTCATTTATATTAGGCTGTATCTCAAAGGTGTGTCACCATTGGGGCTCATCCTCTTGAAACTATGTTATTTGTTGCCTTATTATTCAGTAAATGAAACCCAGGGATGTTGAGCCTACAGGGAAAAAACTATCATAGGGGTTTGGGGGCGGGGGATATAGAGGGGCGGGGGAGATAAGAGGGAGATGATGCCAAGAAGTCCAGGAA